ATTAATTTCCCAACATATATATGTTAGGTATGTTATTATACGTAATATAAGCCTCAATTTAAGGTAAAATTCAACCATAAACGCTTCGCAAAACGTTTTAAAGTCACTAGTGTTCTTTATAAAACTAAACTGCCTTTTAAAATGGCTTTATCGATAAACATCATAAACTTTGAGTTTGCAATAAAATGATTTCGAATTCTCGCTTGCAAATAACTTTGCTTTCTTTTCTATTTAAAGAATTCAATATCATAAAAAGGGAATCAATATTAAAGATACACTGAAATTACATGCTGTCTTGTTTAGTTGTTTCATATACGCAAAGGCCGTCGGGTTTTAAAATTAAAGCCATTATAAAATCAATATTTAAAACAAACTTACCTTCGTTAATGTCGGCTCCCTTCTTTTAGCCGATTCTTTCGCAGTTTCTTTCTGAAAGAGCTTTTGAAATTTACAAAATCTTGCAAAAATGCGAGCAAAAATGAAATATATTTGCAAGAAATTTATCAATCATCAAATCAGGAAATGTTTGCTATTTCGCTGTCGTCATGCAATCGTTATAATGCAAACTCTAAATTGGACCAATCAGTGTCCGCTATTCATGACAGTCCGCCATATTTTTGAGATCAGTGAGGATGACCACCCACCCCAACATCGTTGGTCACCCACGCCCGCGATAATTGATGAACTTTAGACTTCGCTAATGCTTTCGTTTCCCCGGGTGTAAATAGCCGGGGGGAATTAGTACCCTCGCACGGCGCTTCGCGCCGTCGGCTCGGGGATTACGAAAAAGATATGTCCAAAGGGGCCGAAGTTATTGTTATATCCTCAGAAATGCACTGTTATACAACTCAAACTCAACTTTTAATGTCCTTAGAAAACTGAATAACAACCTTTGCTTTATCGCTCTCGCACATGTTCCTTTAACCCCCAAAGCCCATGCGCAATATATCACATTTCCCTTTCTAACAAACGTCTCTGTTCATAACGATTAAATTAACTATAAATTGTCAACGATAATAACGTAAAAGTTCTTTAAAGTTAATGATCTGTTCTTCCTCGATTGGCTCTTAACGGATAACGTCTTTCAGCGGAACCTGTGTTATTCGCACTTGAATTATCAGTAACAGAGTTTTGATTATCGTTCTTTTCTACAGAATCGTTGCTACTAGTACCCGAGGTGTTCCCATATCTGTTCGAATTTTCAGATAATTGTTCTGCTTCCGGTGTCCCACTCTTTTCCGAAGAGATCTCAACTTCATCCCAATCATTTTCTGGTTCAATTTGCGGATTGTATTTGACTAACTGATCTACATGTCGTTTCCACAGATATCCAGGTACTCTAACCATGTAATGCCTTGAACCAAGAACTTTAGTGACCACTCCAGGAATCCATTTCTCTTTCCCTTGATAATTACGTGCTAAGACATTTTCCCCTTCAACAAAGGATCGCATGTTTAAATTCGCAGAACGTTCAAGGACTTTATATTGCTTTTGCTTTATATTGCTTTTGCTTTTCAACTTCCCGCGAATCTCGTGGTCTGAAAGCATGGTTATCCCAACCGGTGAATCCGAGAGATTTTTCTACAACACCTTATCTGACCATTACTTAAGTCAATTGATCTTCGCTCCAACAAGAGAAACTAACGTTCTTGATCTTATCATGACAAACATTCCAGACAACGTTAACAACATTGAAGTAATTGATCCAACCAATTTCAATTTGTTTTCCGACCACAAGTGCATACTCTTTGAGTTTCAAAGTACAGCAACACCTTCCCACAAGCTCAAAAGATCGGTTTACGATTACAACCGTGCGGATTTTGAAAAAATGATCCGTACTTTTGAACCGATTGAATTTGAATTTAGCGATCCCACATCGATGTCCGACATTAACGAGAACTGGAATTTATGGAGAGACACTTTCCTTGCTGTAGCTGACGAATGTATTCCAACAAAGATTGTAAAAGGAAGGTACAATCCACCATGGTTGACCGGTGAGATAAAATCTTTGATCAAAAAGAAAGAAACACTACGGCGAAAAATCCGTCGCGGAACAAATTCTGCTGCACTTGTACAAAAATACAAGAATCTCCGCCGTACATCTAAGAGATTAATCAAAGAAAGTCGGGAAAAGTTCTTTGGTTCCCTAAGCGAAGCTCTACCATCCAATCCGAAACTGTTCTGGTCATTTTTTAAAACAACCACTAAATCCAGCCGTATTCCACAGCAAGTTTCCGTCGCGACAGGCAACGAAGACTCCCCACGCTTAGATTCCACTAGTCAAAAACAAGCTGCAGAAATGTTCAATGACTACTTCCACTCAGTATTTCTAACAGAAGGTGATGATATTTCAATCCCCACTACACCTGTATGTGAAGAGACCATTTCTGACATTATTTTAGACCCAAGTGAAGTATATGACGTTCTTCATTGCCTCGATCCTAGTAAAGCATCTGGTCCAGATAATATACCAATCCGCTTACTAAAAGAATGTGCGCACTCCATCACACCATCATTAACATGTCTCTTCAACAAATCCTTAAAGCATGCCTCCCTACCATCAGAATGGAAACTGTCCAACATCATCCCGCTTCATAAAAAAGGAATCAAGAGTTTTGTTGAGAATTACAGACCAATTTCCCTCATGTGCGTTGTTGCGAAAGTTTTAGAACGTTGTGTTTACAACCGTCTGATTGGTCATATAGAGAACATGATATCCGTCGCACAGCATGGTTTTCTGAGAGGAAAGTCTTGCACAGGTCAGCTCATTTCCGTTCTTCACCGCATCAGCCAAAACCTGGATTCAGGGAAACAAACAGATATCTTGTATTTCGATGTTGCTAAAGCGTTTGACACGGTGAATCATAGCCTTCTTTTAAAGAAACTCCAACGATTTGGACTTAGGGACAATATTTTAACGTGGTTTAAAAGTTATTTATCCGGACGACAACAGCGTGTACTAGTCAATGGTGAGATTTCAGAGACATGTCCAGTTTCCTCCGGCGTTCCGCAAGGATCAATACTCGGACCACTCCTGTTTCTCATCTACATAAACGACCTTCCCGAATCAATAACCTCATCCGCTGTTGACGTTTCCTTGTTTGCCGACGACACAAAATGCATCTCAGTTATTGAATCACCGGTTGACGCCTGTGTCCTTCAAGCTGAAGCGAGAAACGTGGAGAAATGGGCTGAGTTTTGGAGGCTCAAATTCAACGCCGAAAAATGCAAAGTTCTGAGCGTTACGAGAAAACGTCATCCTCTTGTTGCTGAATACATTGTCAACGGTAAAACTTTGCAGCATGTTTCCTCCCAGAAAGACCTCGGAGTGACGGTTTGTTCAGATCTCAGATGGAACACTCATATTTACGAGCAAGTTACGAAAGCCAACCGCCTACTTGGTATGCTCAAACGTTCGACTATCAAAGTTAAAAACGTAAATACCCGACGCTGTCTCTACCTTACACTTGTGAGATCCCATCTTGCTTATGCCTCACAAGTGTGGTGTCCACAGACTATCACCATGTGTATGGAGCTCGAACGCATACAACGTAGAGCGACCAAATTCGTACTGTCTTTACCATTCCAAACGGACATGCCATATAAAACGAGACTCGCTGCGTTGAATATGCTACCTCTCTGTTACTGGCACGAATATCTTGATATCCTGTTCCTCTTCAAATGCAAATATGGCTTGGTTAAAACTGATATCCTACCCGAAGAAGTTGACACTCTGACTTCAACCATAAATCTACGCTCTTCTAATAACTCTCTTGTAAAATATAACATTCCTAAAGTAAGAACGCTATGTCACCAGAACAGTTATCTTGTACGAGTATCGCGTGTGTGGAACTGCCTACCAGATGAGCTACGGAAACCAGAACTATCATTGCAGAGCTTTAAATCACGTGTTATAAACTATTACCACTCCGCAACATTAACCGTGTTTGACCAGGAAAATCCGCAGACGTGGAAATCAGTTTGTCTGAAATGCCATAAAGCCAGGCAGCTTACTGCAACAATGAAATGTTGTTCTTAATTGAACTAGTTATTTTGGCAATTATTCAATGTAGTATACCTCATTTTATCCGATGTAGAGTTGGGTTTTTCGCCATTTTCGTTTTATCTTATCGACGGGTACAGAACCTATATATATTCTCGCATTTATTCTGTTTGACAATTTTGTCATTTTGTTTTACCAAATTTCGAAATTTTTACGCTGTCTCTCTACTTCGGATAAAAAGGATTATACTATATTCTTGTTTGATATTTAAATTATAAGTTGTGAAGTTTTGTATAATGATGTTTTGTAACAGGTCACTAACGTAATTGGCTTACGCTGTGTTAGTGTTCCTGAACCGTCTTCCTGTTTGCATATGTATATTTCTGTTGACGGCTGAAGTTAATAAATCAAATCACATGTTCCTGAACGGAAGGAAAGACTAGATCAAGTCGGGTTCGCAGACGTCTGCCCATAAGTAAAACTGAAGGTGCTGCACCCGTTGTAGAATGTGGTGCATTACGATACACTAGTAAGCTCTTAGCAATAACCACGTTCACATCCTGTTTAGTAATTCGAGCTTGCTCAATCGCCGATTTCAAAATTTGAACAACTCGTCCAGCTTGACCGTTCGTTGAAGGTTTGTAGGCTGCAGAAGTTCGATGTATAATTCCGTTGTTATGGCAGAACTGTTGAAACTCGCCAGCAATGAATTGCGGTCCGTTATCGGAAACTAATATTTCCGGAAGACCATGGCGGCTAAAGATATCTCGCAGTGCATTTATAGTAGTCGTAGCTGTAGTAGTAGTCATTTTAACAACTTCCGGAAACTTACTGTGAGCGTCAACTACCACCAGATACATTTTCCCAGCACTAGGCCCAGCAAAGTCGATATGAATGCGAGACCAAGGCTGTGATGGAAAAGTCCAAGGATGTACTGGCGCTTTTGCTGGCTCTGATCGCATTTTCTGGCAAACAGGGCAAGTGGACACAGTCTGTTCAATGTCAGAATCAATCTTTGGCCACCAGACATAAGACCTCGCAAGCCCTTTCATTCTTGTCATGCCCGGATGGGTCTCATGTAATTCGGTTAGCATTTCACTTCGAAGAGATGGAGGAACAACAACCCGAGCTCCCCAAAGGATGCATCCTTGATGAATAGTTAGTTGATCACTTCTGTTTTTGTACGGAATCATATCAGCATGGGCCAACCACTTTGTATGTATCTATATACTAAAGAAAGAACAGGATCCACTTGTGTCTTTTTCTTAATCATTTCGGCAGTTACATTAGTAACAACACCAGCTTCAAAGAAATAACATTCTACATTTTCACTTTTAGGGCACCAAGTTTGCGGTAAAGGTAGACGGGACATGCTGTCAGCGTCAGCATGTGCAGTTGTACTTCGGTACTCAATCTTGTAATGGTATGAGGCTAGGATAAGTGCCCATCTTTGTAGTCGTGAAGCCGTGTGGGTAAGTCCAAATATTATACTGAAAGCTTCCTTCTCAAGCTGTGAATAATTTCGTTGGGCCTCAGTTAATGTACATGATGCAAATGCTATCGGTTGGTGTTTCCCATTAATGACATGTGACAATACCGCTCCTGCACCATAAGAAGAAGCATCACATGATAGAACAAGAGGCAATGATTCATTATAATGTACTAGTGTTCTCGAATTTAGTAAAAGATTTTTAGCTGCTTTGAAAGCTGCGTCTTCTGATTTAGTCCACTTCCAAGGTACATTCTTCTTAAGCAGATTATTCAGCGGTGCTAATACAGTGGAATGGTGTGGCATAAATCGTGAGTAAAACATCATAAGTCCTAGGAAAGACTTAAGAGCCGTAGCATCCTTTGGAGGGGGGCATCACGCACAGCTGCTAGTTTGTCTTCAGTTGGATGGAGGCCAGCACTATCGATTAGATGACCTAGGTACACCACAGAAGACTGGAGAAATTTGCACTTAGATTTGTTTAACTTGAAACTAGACTTAAGCAATCTTTCTAGCACTTGGGACAAAGTATTCAGATGATCTTCATAATCAGTTCCAGCAATAAGAATGTCATCCAATCTGCTAACAGCTTTCGGAATATCTGCTAATAATCCATCCATAATTCTCTGAAATATAGCAGGACCTGAATGAATCCCGTTAGGCAATCTTTTAAAAGCAAAGAGACCCAGATGGGTGTTGATAGTAAGATACTTCTGAGACTCAGCTGAAATGGGAATTTGATGATAAGCTTGCTTCAGGTCTAATACACTGAATACTTGACAGCCCCTCAATGCAGAATGCATATCTTCTATTTTAAGCATTGGATAAGTCTCAACTCCAGCACATGCATTATAAGTAACACTGAAATCACCACAAACTCGAACTTCATCACCGTCCTTTTTGCCCACCGTAACAATAGGGGCAGCACTAACAGCAGAAGAAATCCTCTCAATGACACCATCTTTTTCAATTTTTAGTAGAGCACTTTCAACTCTTGTCTGTATTGCATACGGAACTGGACGTGCTTTATGGAATTTAGCTCCCTTACTTTCATTGAGAACTACAGCATCACCAGTGTAACACCCAAGTTGAGGTTGAAACAGTTCATCATATTTTGATAGGAGTGAGTCCAATGTATTCTTATTTTCAGAAATCTTGGAGCATGTAGCTGTGGTAGTAAATGACGGTAACTCTATTCCAGGCAAATTGTTCCAATCTAGCTTTATACACCTTAGCCAGTTTCTTCCAAATAAGACACCAGAGCCCTGTGGTACTACCAGTAATGGAAGAGAGTGCTGAGTTCCAGCATAAGTAACATTAACATTGATTTGTCCCAAAGGTTGAATCTTTTCACCGGTATAGGTAGATAATCTCACTGCGGTAGGTTTTAAAGGGATATGGGAACAAAATTGCTCATAGAAGGTTTGGGGGGCCAAGGACAATGCACAACCAGTATCTAATTGTAAGGAACACTCTTGATTCTCAATTTTCAAGGGTACGGAAATTTCTGATTTGTATAGGGAGCTAACATCAAAAACCGTAAATAATTCTTCCTCAAGAAACACATCATCTGAACTCAGTTTCTGTTCAACAAAGTTATTTTGCATGTTACCTCTCTTGCAAACACGAGCAATGTGACCAGTCCGCTTACATCGGCTGCATACAACATTTCTAAATCTACACTGGGCCCGAGAGAGAATGTTCAGTTCAGCAATGCACAGGAATAACAGGCATATGAAAATTTCTGGGCGGTAGGCAATGGTGGTCTTAGGTTATTGGAATTTGATGTATTCCTGCTATTTGAAAACTTATCAGGAATTTGATTTCTACCCACAGCATGCACAGATTCGTTCACTGGTTTCGTATTGTTTTGAAATGCTAAAGTCTCCTTACCAGCAACTTCATCAGCTATGGCCACTTTTAACACATCTTGAAAAGTACGGTCTTTATTTAGTAACTTTTTCCGAGTAGCTGAATTACGAATCCCGCATATAAATTGATCACGCAAAGAACGGTTTAAGAACTGACCAAAGTTACAAGTGGAAGCATAATGTCGCAAACGTGCACTGTAATCAGAAACATTTTCATTTTCTTCTTGAATACACCGATGAAATCTATAAGTTTCAGCTACAACCAAACGTTTCGGTTTGTAATGAGTACGTAACATTTCACAAAGCTCAGAAAAACTTTTATCTTTGGATGAATCAGGACTGCACAAATCACGAAGGGTTGCGTAAGATTTCTTTCCAATAACTGAAATAAGTACCGCGACTTTTTTCTTGTCTGCAGCCGCAAGTACCACGGCCTTTTTTAAGGATTTTCCCGTGGGGGGGGGGCATTTTTTGAAAAGGGACCTTTCTGTGAGATAATATTTTAGAGGGGGATAGCAATGGCTGAAAGCCACATGTGTGGCAAATATACCACGCATGAATGGGGGGGGGTCTGGGGGTGTACTCCCCCAGAAAATTTTTGAAATTTGACTCCCGGAAATGTAATTTCCTGCATTCTGAGCATCCAAATTTGCTCCAAAATTTATCCTAACTGGCTAACCATACTTGTATTTGAAATAAATAAAGGAAGAAACGCACAAAAAGTAAAAAAAATTAACCATCATTTATCGTTACTTATTAGAGGAGGATAGCAATGGTCAGGTGTGTGGGGGTGTACTCCCCCAGAAAATTTTTGAAATTTGAACCACGGAAATGCCATTTCCTGCATTCTGAGCATCCAAATTTGCTCTAAAATCTATGCTAACTATAGTTGTATTTGAAATAAAAGATGGAAAAATGCACAAAATTAAAAGTAAAAAAGAATATTAACTGTAATTTATCATTACTTATTAGAGGGATAATCCCAAGAAAATTTTTGAAATTTGAAACCGTGAAATGCTATTTCCTGCATTCTGAGCATCCAAAAAATAAAAAAAATATTAACAATAATTTATCATTACTTAGTGGTAAAAAAAGTAACACTTTAAATCGATTTTCTTAAACAAGAACAAAGGATAAAGCCTAAAACTTACTTTCCGTTTATCTATTTGTTAATCTTCGCTGGATTGTTTATATAATTTTAGGAAAAAGGGACTTTTTCTGGGGGGGCAAAATGTGATTTCGTGGATGGGCACAAGGGGGGACTGGGGGGGGGCAAATGCCCCCCAGCTTGTATGTTAAAAAAGGCCCTGGCAAGTACTTCTTGTGTAGCAGCAGCAGGACATTGCCCGATAGAATTAGCGATAAAATATTGCTCTAATCTCTCCGAATATGCAGTAAACAACTCGGTAGACGGATCAAATTCCCCCAGAACGCCGAATAATGGCGTCGAAGACATACTATTAAATTGTACTCGTACAGAACTAAATTCCACTAAATTACTGTTTTAACTCGTTCGTTCAGCTAGAAAATATACCAGAATCCTTTATTGAAATCCCATGCTCGTCGCCAATTGTTATATCCTCAGAAATGCACTGTTATACAACTCAAACTCAACTTTTAATGTCCTTAGAAAACTGAATAACAACCTTTGTTTTATCGCTCTCGCACATGTTCCTTTAACCCCCAAAGCGCATGCGCAATATATCACAGTTATATTCGGCGAAATGTATGGCTAGTTTACATTGTTTTTTATACTATGAGATATGATACCTTACTTGTAATAAAAATTCGCCTCGAACTAATGTTATTGTATTAGGCAAATGAGAACCATACAATAAATGTTTTAGTTCTTGTTGGTATTTTGAACGCACACTTTATCTTTACTATAGCTACTACTAGAAAATACATGCATGCACAAACCCTCGCCTAGCTGACAAAACCATTGTATTTTCCGAACATGAAGTATCTAGAGTAGTTGTCATGGTGCACGATAATAATTTTTTAAGAATATTCTTACAAATCGCCTAAAAATATCACTTTTAATTACAAAATTATCAATTTCCCAACATCAATTTCCCAACTCAAAATTATCTATTTCCCAACTCCTCTGAGCTCCTTCAACGGCTTAACTGGAAAAATCTTGAAAACAGATTTAGATTTAATAAAGTGGTTCTGGTATACAACATTCTTAATAATGGTACTGCCCCCTGTCTTCGAGAATTCTTTTCTGCGTGAAGCAATAATGATAATGACTATCATCTCAGAAATTATGATAAAGATCTCTCACTTCCAAAACCTAAGAAAGAATTTCTTAAAAGAAGCTTTAGGTATAGTGGAGCTGTACTGTGGAATAGTCTTTCTGCTGAGGCTAAGTCTGCTCATTCGATTTATTGTTTCAAAATACTTATTTGAATCTTGTTTTTAATTGTTATTCCATTTGTAACTATGTTCTGGGTAATATTCTTTTTGGGTCTGTGGGTTAATCAGTTTTTTCTTCATTTTTATATACTTGTAAATAGCTAAATAGACGCCCCTCATGAAAACCAGCCGTATAGCTGATGAGGATAGCGTCTGTAAAGAAATACATACATACATACATACATACATACATACATACATACATACATACATACATACATACATACATACATACATACATACATACATACATACATACATACATGCATACATGCATACATGCATACATGCATACATGCATACATGCATACATGCATACATGCATACATGCATACATGCATACATGCATACATACATACATGCATACATGCATACATGCATACATGCATACATGCATACATGCATACATGCATACATGCATACATACATACATACATACATACATACATACATACATACATACATACATACATACATACATACATACATACATACATACATACATACATACATACATACATACATACATACATATAAGCTTCAATTTAAGGTAAAATTCAACTACGAACGCTTGGCAAAACGTTTTAAAGTGTTCTTTATAAAACTAAAAGGGTCTTTAGTTAAATGGCTTTATCGATAAACTTTGAGTTTGCAATAAAATGATTTCAAATTCTCGCTTGCAAATAACTTTGCTTCCTTTTTTATTTAAAAAATTCAATATAATAAAAAAGGGAATCAATAGTAAAGATACACTGAAATTATATGCTGTCTTGTTTAGTTGTTTCTCATACGCAAAGGCCGTCGGGTTTTAAATCCACTATAAAATCAATATTTAAAACAAACTTACCTTCGTTAACGTCGGCTCCCTTTTTTTAGCCGATTCTTTCGCCCTTTCTTTATGAGGAAACTTTTGAAATTTACAAAATCTTGCAAAAATGCGAGCAAAAAATTAATCAATCATCAAATCAAGAAATGTTTGCTATTTCGCTGTCGTCATTATTATTATTATTATTATTACTCATTTATATAGCGCCATTTCCTGTAGCTCAATGGCGCTTAACATTAATTAAGTGTTAAAAATATATACTATATATAAGTACATGCATAATACTAAGGTTGGTAATACATACATTAACTATACTAAAAGTACTATATGTTCTTTTCATTATGAATATAAAATTACTTTATGCTATAAATGTTGACAATATTAAAAAACTATATAAAATACTATAAAATTGGTAATACTTGTTAAAATAGTACTTAGTCATAACACTGTTTAAAAAGATGTGTCTTTAATCTAGTTTTAAAAATAGGCAAGGTCTCACTCTTTCTAACATGTTCTGGTAGTTCGTTCCACAGTTTCGGTGCCGCATATGAGAACGATCGTTCACCATAGTTAACCAATTTTACTGAGGGTATTGTGAGCAGTCCCTTGGATGAAGAGCGTAAATTTGCTGATGGTGTGTAAGGTTTTAGCATATTGTTAATGTAATGTGGAGCAGCACCATTCAGGGATTTATATGTAATAAGAACAATTTTATAGATGATGCGTTGACTAATGGGGAGCCAATGTAATTGTTTCATTAATGGAGTAACATGGTCGTATTTTCTGCTTCCTGTCACCAGACGAGCAGCACAGTTTTGCACATTCTGTAACCGATCTATAAGAAATTTAGGTAGTCCGTATAGCAAAGAGTTGCAATTATCCAGTTTCGATGTAATAAAGGCATGAACTAGGGTTTGGATATCTGATTTTGATAAGTACTCTTTTATTCTTGCTATTTTTCTCAAATGGAAAAAACAGTTCTTGCAAATGTTGGTAATATGTTTATCCATGGACATGTGTTGATCGAAGGTTACACCGATGTTTCGTGCTGAAGTACTTGGTTGAACTATTGACTTAGATATTTCTATATGGTGTACAGCAGGGCATAAACGATTTCGTGCATTGATTACTAGTAACTCAGTCTTGTCCCCATTCAATTTTAATTTATTTTTGACCATCCACAAATCAATCTCCTTTACACACATTTCAATTTGTACCAGTGCTCCCGCTTTTCCTTCAGTGGTTGACTCAAAAGCGAGATATAATTGCGAGTCATCTGCGTAAAAGTGAAAGTCAAGACCATGACCTCTAATGATATCACCAAGGGGTGAAGTGTATAGTAAATATAATATAGGTCCGAGAACTGATCCTTGTGGGACTCCACAGCTCAAGTCTTTAGAGATAGATTTAACACCATCAATTACTACACTTTGCGTTCTATTTTGAAGATAGGACTGAAACCATTTCCATACTTGTCCATCTATCCCAAATCGTTTGAACATTCTTTGTAATAAAATTTCGTGATCAACAGTATCGAATGCTGCTGACATATCTAGTAGTAACAACACAACACACTTATGATTATCAATAGCCACAAGAATATCGTTTTGCACTTTTAATAGGGCTGTTTCCACGCTATGAAAACGTTTATATGCCGACTGGAAAGGTTCTTCTAGGTTGTTATTAGCCAAATGTTCCAGAAGCTGACCGGCGGCGGCCTTCTCAATTACTTTAGACAGGAGTTTTAAATTTGAAATAGGTCTAAAATTTGTGTATTCTTCGTATTCCAACGAATCTTTCTTTAGTTTTGGTTTCAACACGGCTTCTTTTAGTTTTCCAGGCATACAACCTGACTGAAGTGACTCATTACTGATCTTAGTAATTATAGGTAAGAGAGTCTTCTGACAACTTTGAAAGATTTTTGCGGGAACTGGATCAAGTTCACAAGATTTTTTTCCAACTATATCAATAATATTTTTAATTTCATGTTCCGTGACTTCTTGAAAGTTAATGAATTTAGCGCATTGTACATATTGCTCCTCTTGATTTAGCTGATTACAGTGGGAAGAATCAATGACTAGTTCTTGCCGTAGAGTAGTAATCTTATTACTGAAGAAATCTGCAAATTTATTCACGAGTTCTGTGGTTGATGACGCAGTTGGATAGCGCTTTTCTGACTTTCGATGGAGTAATTTATCAACCGTACTAAATAACACTTTCTGATTATGTGCATTGCTAGAAATAACCGATGAATAGTATGTTGTCTTAGCATTCTTTATCATGGCATTCACTGTCTCACATTGTTTAACATATAACTGTCTGTCAATACATAATCCAGATGCGCGCCAGCGGCGCTCTAATTTCCTGCGATTTCTTTTTTCTTGACCAATCTCTTCATTGTACCATGGTGATAGAGGACGGAGAGTTATAATTCGTCGTTTTTGTGGGGCATGTTGCTGTAATGTTTCTTTCAGCGTATTTTCATATTTATCAATAAGGACTGGGAGATCATAATCATAATCATCATCTAAATCTAGCACTTTTAGATCTTCATTGAAACTATTCATGTTTACATTGTTTAATTTTCGATAGTAAATTTCAGCTTGCTCCAATGGTGGTTTCTCTAATTTTAATGTACAATGTATGGCAAGATGATCCGATATTACTGGATCATGTATTCTGATACCAGTCACTAATTTATCTTCATTCCTTGTTATAATCAAATCTAAAGTGTGGCCTTTCGTGTGCGTTGGCCCATTGACGTGCTGTTGTAAATTAAACGATTGCAGTATCCTGTTGAGTTTAGTAGTATCTGGATCTGTAATGTTATCTACATGAAAATTAAAGTCTCCTGCTATTAATATATTGCCAGGTAATATGATCAACTGTTCTACAAGTATGCAGAATTCTTCAAAAAATACTGAACTGCTTAGTTTGTTAGTCTTCGATGGCGGTGGTCTATAAATGACAATCGTTCTGGTGCAAGTGTTACGGTAGTTCAAGGTGACATCAATATATTCAAAAGAAGAGAATTTTCTCTGGGATTGTTTTTTGGCTTTAATATATTTCTTCAGTAAGAGACCAACTCCTCCACCTCGTGCATTTTTCCTTGTAACGTGGTAAAAGTGATACCCTGTTGGGCAGATTTCAGCAATAGAAAATTCGTTATCATCCTCACGTAACCATGTCTCAGTCATTGCCAGAATATCAATATCGTTCTCAGAGACATAGTCATTAATAAAAAGTTCTTTCCTATTTATTGATCTGGTGTTCAACAGACAAAAGTTGATAGGCATAAAATAAGTCTTTTGTTCCTTTGTACAATTGACATAAATTAAATTATTAAAATTTACATATCGAGATTGTTTCGTATTCTTAATA